GAGCCGCCCGCCCCGTTCGTTTAAAGCAAATCTGCTCCCAGCCGAGCCCTGAACCTCCTGCCGGGAGCGGAGAAGCCGAGTTAATGCCCCGGAGCCGCCCCAGCGCCAGTTTCTGACCGAAACTGGGATTAGCTCGTAGCGCGACGCTGCTGCCGTCCCTCCTCCGGATGGATTTAGTCGCAGCATCCCGGCCCGCTCCGTGCTCCCGTATCGATTTTTGGGAGCAAGATTTAATGCCGCTGCGCCTTCGGCTTGAGCAAGGACGGAGCGAAGGGCTTCAGAGGGATCGAAAATTAATTTCAGGCATATCCCTATCAAAGCTCTGCGAAGAGGCAGAGATTTTTCTCGGGGCTTTGATCCCGTCGGATAATTTTCCGGTTGCGACAGAGCCCTGACGCTCTCGTCTCTCCTGCATCTCTCCCGGGTCTCTCCGCAGGTCCCTTTCTTTGGGAAGCGCCAGCACCACACCTGCCCGTGTTTGCCCAACTTCGTCTGCTCCAGGTTCCTCGACGGCCGCTACCGCTGCTCCATCGACTTCAAGAACATCGATTTTTAGGGTGATGCTCGCCGTTCTCCATCCATGAGCCCCCAGCACCCGTTTCTTGCCCTCTCCCATGGCCATGGGGTGCCCACATAGCACTGGGCAACCTTAAAAGTGCTTTTCCAAGATAGACAGTGTTGTTATAAGCTATATGTTATATAGGGAAACTGAGGCACGGTCAGGCCAAGCTGCTCTGACGTGTGGTTTAGCAAAGCTCTGCCCCAGCTTGGAGCAGGATCCAGCTCCAGCATCTTCGGCAGAGGAGCGGATCCAAGGCCAGTGTGTGTTGCAAATGTCTGTGGCTTCACAAACCCCTTTTGCAGGATGTTGTTTGCGCGTGGCGGAGACTGTCCGGTAGCTTTACACCTCCCTCCTTTGTTTTAGACAGGCAAAAATCGAGGGTGATGCAATTTGGGACACATAATAAAATTTGGGATGTGAAGCTGAGCAGCATCGTTTCATCTGCCAAAGCATCTGCAGGGCTGAGCCCAGTGCCGAAGGACGGGGCCGGGGGGGACCCTGACTTTAATTATTTTTACACTTTTCAGTTGTGCACAAAAATCAAAGGGGTAGAAACTGCCTTTTGCAGGGAGTTTTAGCAATTTCCCTGCAATTCCTACTGGATAAACCACTTCTGTAATAATTCCCATCGTGATATTGCCCAGTCGTGTCTTACTGGTGTATTTTTTCTTCAAGCTGGTGACGGATGCTCCAACTCAGCCTGTAATTAAAAGAGATCAATATCAATTAGCTGTGGGCAATTAAGGAATGGATTTCCCCAAAGTTTGAGCAATGCAACGTGTTTGGCAGCAGCTGGAGCCGCGTCGTGCCAGATGTGGGTCTTTGGGATGTAGGAAAACGTTTTCCAGCCTCGATGTCTGCCTGGGGTTCAGGCCTGAGTGAGGTTTGGGAGCCTCAGAGGGGAAAATGGGATAATAAAGTTAATTAAATGTGCTACAAGTTCTCTGGGACACGTGCTTTTAGTTCCCCTCTTCAAAACGTATCGTGGAAAAATTGTGTGTCGCTTGAGCTTCCCTCCTGCTTCCTCCAGCAACCAAATGATAAATGAAAAGAATGAAATAAAAGAAAATTTTTAAAAAATAATCAGCATTTACAGAAAAAAAAACCAAACCTCCAATTAACACCAATTGGTTTCCTTTCAAGGAGAATCGGTGCTTAAAAATAAAGCTTATTTTTGGGCTTTGAATGCGTCCCTGGAAAGCCCTTGGGGTTGGGTGCTGGGGGCTGTGGCACCCTCCTGGGCTCTGGGCCCTCCCCGTTTGGTCGGGCTTTGGTGGGCTTTTGGTGGGGTTTTAGTGGGGTTTTGTGGGTTTTGGTGGGGTTTGGTAGGTTTTGGTGGGGTTTGATGGGTTTTGGTGGGGTTGGTAGGTTTTGATTTTGCTGGGGTTGGTAGGGTTTGGTGGGGTTTGGTACATTTTGGTGGGGTTTGATGGGTTTTGGTGGGGGTTTGGTGGGTTTGGTAGGTTTTAATGGGGTTTGGTGGGGTTTGATAGGTTTTGGTGGGGTTTTGGTGGATTTTGGTGAGTTTTGGAAGGGCCTGATGGGGTTTGGTGAGTTTTGGTGGAGTTTGGTGGGTTTTGATACTCTAGCAGCACCTATTTCTAGTTCTAAAGACCCCAAAGGACATGAGAGGTCTGGCTGTGGTGGACGCCGTTGTTATCGTGCCGAGTAAAGTAATTCAGATTTGGCGTTCGATGCTGGGTCGAAGCTTCCCCGCGCTCGTTCCTCCTCCAGCAAAATATTGTAAATTCGGTGAAAATAAAACCCTGCAACACTGGGCTGATTTTATTTCAGTTTTGGTTTTTTTTTTTTTTCTTTTTTCTTTTGCACATCAGAAGTTTTGCTTTTCATTGCCCAAAGATCAGTCCCGCGGTGGGGATGCTGCAGGATTTTTTGGCACCCATTGTCTGGCATTGGGAACCGTGGCAGAAGGACTCGGGGGACACCACGGGTCACCAACTAGAAAGGGGTCCCATAGCAATACAGAACAGGGGAAAAAGTCTGGAAAAAAGCACAAAGTTTCATAACAGGGCTAAAAAATACATAGTTTCATGGTTTGGCTTTCTTTGATGAAGTTGCCTTAATTTATGAGCTGCTTCTGGCTTTCCCACAAGCTTGGAAATGTGCAGAAAGGGCTGGGATTTTTCTCAATTTTCTATTTATTTTCTCCTTATTTTTCTTTTCAGTTAATTTTCAGACATCTCCCAGTAGAAAATATTGAAAATTATTTTCTTCCAGCAGAAAACACACACACACAAAAAGAAATAAAACAACCAAACAGCTTCTCACCATCCTCAATTGCTATTTTGGGGGGGATTCCCCAGACCCTGGTGGGAATTACCAGTCTCCCGGTAGCTTTAAACTGCAGAAGGTGACAATTTAGTGGGAAATCACTTGATTTGGGCATAAATTTATAGAGGGACACCCCTATCGCAAGAGCTTCTTGCTTTAAAATTTGAAATGGAAGAAGTGATGAGTTGTCCAGATTAGGGATGTGCAGCCTGAGCAGGTCCCTGCCCTTGGTCCCCTCTCCCCTGCTCTCACTGGGGACGTGTCCTTGCATGGTTTTACCTGTATTTTAGCAGAAAAGAAGTGCCACTTTTAAGATGTTTTCAAAGTGTTTTTAGGGGAGCAAAACCTAGCAAATCTTTTTTTTTTCTGCTTTTTTTCTCGTAGAGGTGGAAACCCCCACACAGGGGCAAGAGCACAAGTGGTGAAAGCAAAAGCTGATGTCCTCCAGTGGGGACGGGGGGGAAAAGTCAACACAACCTGGTAATCAGGAGCACTGGGGGCTTGTTTGCTTCCTGTGAGCTGTTTTTCCACCCCGTGGCGCGGTGCCAAGTGCCCCTCTTGTCCTCCCACACGTGTGTGTTCCCCCTTGTTGTTTAATGTTCTAGCTCCAAGGTGAACCGTGCCTGGCTGCAAAAACCAGTGTGGGCTGGGACCCAAGTGGGACAGGGCTGGGACCCAAGTGGGACACTTCTGGGACCCAACTGGGACATGGTTGGAACCAAATGTGACACGGCTGGACCCAACTGGGGCATGACTGGAACCCAACTGGGACATGGTTGGACCCAAATGTGACATGGCTGGACCCAACAGGGGCATGACTGGAACCCAACTGGGACATGGTTGGAACCAAATGTGACACGGCTGGACCCAACTGGGGCATGACTGGAACCCAACTGGGACATGGTTGGACCCAAATGTGACATGGCTGGACCCAACAGGGGCATGACTGGAACCCAACTGGGACATGGTTGGACCCAAATGGGACACGGCTGGACCCAACTGGGGCATGACTGGAACCCAACTGGGACATGGTTGGACCCAAATGGGACACGGCTGGACCCAACTGGGGCATGACTGGAACCCAACTGGGACATGGTTGGACCCAAATGTGACATGGCTGGACCCGACAGGGGCATGACTGGAACCCAACTGGGACATGACAGGGACCCAGCTGGGACAGGGCTGAGACCCAACTGGGACACTGCTGGGACCCAACTAGGACACTGCTGGACTGCTGGGACCCAGCTGAGATGTGGCTGGACCCAACTCTGACATAGCTAGGACCTAAATGGGACACTGCTGGGACCCAACTGGACCTAAATGGGACACTGCTGGGACCCAACTGGGACATGGCTGGACCCAACTGGGATGTGGCTGGACCCAGCTGTGACATAGCTGGGATCTGAATGGGACACGGCTGGGACTCAAGTGGGACATGGCTGAACCCAACAGGGACACGGCTGGGACCCAGCGGAGACATGGCTGGGACATGGCTGGGACCCAGTGGAGACATGGCTGGGACCCAGCTGGGACAGGACTGGGACCCAACTGGGACATGACTGAGGTGTCACAAACCCAGCGCTGCGCCCCGGCGCTGCTCCCGGCTCTGACGATTCAACGCCAAAACCAGTTGTGTGTCCGGTTTCCAAACAGCATCGTGCAGTTCCACCCCCTCGAAAACACACGTCGACCCCCTCCCCACCGCAGACTCTTGCTCCC